AACACTCCTCCACATAGGAAGAAGGTATTCCAAGGCTAACTCTGGCTGGCCAGCTCTCAGAGAGACGCTTATTGGTCATGTGGATAAGCAGGAGAGTGTTGGTAGGTCAGGGAACCCTGCCCCTAACACTTGTGAAACAATGCAAAGTACGCCTGTACAGAGGGCTGTGGGTTCTTATATTTTATATAAGATTAGTCCTAGGGGAAGTTCTACTCTGCCCTATAGGGTCACTATGAGTTGGAATCGCCTCGATGGCAATGGGTTTGTTTTTTTGGTGTTTTTTTAAGTCCTCTGAAACAGGTGTAATATACCTAACTAACTCTAGCTACCCAAGGAATTAATATAAAGCTTAATCATGTCAAAATTTTTATAACAAACTTCACTATAAGCTGTTCATGAAAACTATAAATGGGATTGATTGATATGCACTCTATCATACAAGGTCTTAATATCATTCGTGTATCTTGATCAAATTGCTGAACTGAATCTGGCTTCTTTGCAAGTCCACTAGGAGACCACATTGAATGAAATCTAAGTGTTTCCCCACCAGTGCATTCTCTTATCTGTGAAGGAGGCTGCATCCAAGAAAGCCATTAGACTTTTACATAGCATTCTATACTTCTGCCCTTGGTAGCTTATTAAATGCAGCATTGTTAATTATGGCTGCTCATAAAGCCACCTGTATGATAATGGTGCCTTGTTTGTATCTGATCTATCTTGATACTGGGTATTAGATTTACTGTTTGTCTTTTTCAACTTGAGTCACCTCTCATCACTCATTTTCCAAAATCCTAATCATGGTTGAGTAATTCAGAGTTCTGGGCCTAATTGTTTCTGTCCTGGAGGTCTTAATATCTGAATATGATGGACTCCCTGAAGTTGGTCAGTTGGCTGTTCTTTTTTTTTAAGTTGGCTGTTTTAGTCTTCAGGTTTTTCAAGGAAGAGGAAGAAAACAGAACATTTTCTGAGCACTTAAAATATGCTGTACTTTACTAGGCATGTTCACATACATTATCTGAGTTAATTCTCACTATAATCATACATGGTAGGCATTACTACCCCACTTTATTATTATTTTTTTTCTTTCAAGGAGAATTTCCTCCCCTTTTTTTAAAAAATTTTTTTTATTGTACTTTAGATGAAGGTTTACAGAACAAAATAGTTTCTCATTAAACAGCTCATACACATACTGTTTTATGATGTTGGTTAACAACCCCACAACTTGTCAACACTCTCCCTTCTGACCTTGGGTTCCCTATTACCAGCTTTCCTGTCCCCTCTTGCCTTCTAGTCCTTGTCCCTGGGCTGTTGTGCCCCATTAGTCTTGTTTTGTTTTATAGGGCTGTCTAATCTTTGGCTGAAGGGTAAACCTCGGGAGTGACTTCATTACTGAGCTAAAGGGGTGTTCAGGGGCCACACTCTCGGGGTTTCTCCAGTCTCTGTCAGGCCAGTAAGTCTGGTCTTTTTTGTGAGTTAGAATTTTGTTCTCCATTTTTCTCCAGCTCTGCCCAGGACCTTCTATTGTGATCCCTATCAGAGCGGTCAGTGGTGGTAGCCGGGCACCATCCAGCTGTACTGGACTCAGTCTGGTGGAGGCCATGGTAGTTGTGGTCCATTAGTCCTTTGGACTAATCTTTCCCTTGTATCTTGTTTTCTTCATTTTCCCTTGCTCCTAAAGGGGTGAGACCAGTGGAGTATCTTAGATGGCCGCTCACAGGCTTTTAAGACCCCAGATGCTACACACCAAGGTAGAATGTAGAACATTTTCTTTATGAACTATGTTATGCCAATTGAGCTACATGTTCCCCGAGACCATGGTCACTACCCCACTTTTATAAGTGAGGGAACGGTTAGCTTTGAGAACTTAAATGACTGAATCATAATTTGAACACTGGTCTGTTGGACTTCAAAGCCTGTGATTTTTTCCACTACACACACTGACCCCCAGGGGTTGGAGGATTTCTTAGTCAGACTGAACCTAATAACACACTGATCAATCACCTAGCCTCCCCTCAATGCCTGCCTTTCTCCTGTAACCTAATTTTCATTCCACTTTGCATATATTACTTTGGCAAGATAAGTCCCTTGCAGCAAAGCCAGGAAATTAAGCCCCCTTTGAGCCACCAATAAGGAGAACATTGGTTTGAGCCTGTTTTCAATTTTGTCTGAAACCCAGTTACTATTTGTATTTTACGTAGTTCCCAGTGACTCAAAACCCAATCTGAGAGTGTTTCTTATTCCTGGTGTAACTGTTACTTGTTGGATATTCAGCACTTCAAGGCATTGGGTTCCATCATCCATGTGAGAGCCAAGAAGTCTTCAGTTGGAGGAACATAAAGCATACTATGGTGAAGTTCTTCCTCTTAGCCTGAGTGGTAAGCAGAGCAGCTGTAAAAGATCTACTAATGGAGGGTGATGTGTATTAGAATAGATCAGTGAGAAACAGGCACTTGGGCTGGAGATTCAGGGTGAAGGATAATGAGAAGGGAATTTTTAAGAAGGATTACCACCCTCTGAACAACTGACGAAAGAAAGCTTGGAGTTAAGCTAACACTAAAGGGGAATTAAGAAAACCCAAGTGCAGAGCATCATGATGTGGTGACAATCCTTTGAGAAGAGGATGGCCGGATTCCATCCAGGTGCTGAACATTATAGACTGAGATGTGAATGAAATCTTTCAAGGACCTCTTGGAATTAGCCATTACACATTGGACTCAAATGCATCCTCAGGCCATCACTTTAGAACCTTGTTTTCTGCTTCTCGTCCTGTCACAGCAGCTCTGAGACCCCAGGGTCTGTAGCAGAAGCCTAGCTTTCCCTGAAGTTAATTACCAGCTTACTATTTGCATCTCGTAGCTTAGCTTGGCCTTCCTCTACCAAGGTTGTTTCAGCACCAAATCCCAGACAAATTAATCCATACTGTTTCTTCTTGTCCTCTTTTGTTGTCAACTCAGCGGCTTTCTAGGGAGATAATCCAGTGTAGGGCCTTGAGAGCCCAACTTGCTAGGGATCTGCGAGGAGACCAGGGGCTTGGGGAAAGGGTTCCAGGGAAGCTCTGGAAGGCAGAGAGTGGTTCCTGGATTTCCTTCCTCCCCATTCTGTTCTCAAGTTTCTGCTGCCAGAGTTGCCCAGAGGGAGCCTGAGTATAATTCCCAGCTGCTGACAGCATCAGTTTCTGTACCCCACAGAGAGCAGAATGAGTCACCTGCTCCTTAGCTGGTCTCCTGTGCCATTCTGGTGGCATCCTCCTGTGGGATAGAGTTTCTTAGGAAAATGCAAATTTGGGAGTAAATGGAAGATGGGCTAGCTCTGAGGAGCAAAGTGGGCCCAGTGTGGAGAGCACAGCAGCACCTGCATTGGGACCTCCTACCCCTTCCCCCTTTTCCTTCCCTCCCAGTGTCTCAGGATTGGTGGTTCAACATTGTTATCAGCAAGTAGCTACAAATGGTATATTAAGCCAACAGAGGGGAAGGGACACCACTGAGTTAAAAAGTCGGTGGATTGGGAGGGGTAATCCAAAAACCAAATCCATTGCCGTTGAGTTGCTTCCAACTCAACAACCCTATAGGACAGAGTAGAACTGCCCCATAGGGTTTCTGAGGAGTGGCTGGTGGATTCAAACTGCTGACCTTTTGGTTAGCAGCCAAGCTCTTAACCACTGCGCCACCATGGATGGCTTCAGGTAGAGATTACACAGATGTAATAGTGCTCACTTTTTATTTTTTATTTTATTAAAAATTTTAACTTTAACATTCTCACAGAAAAAATAGCAGTGTGATTTTCATTAAGTACTATTTGCTTATCAGGTTCTATTATTGGAAGCTAGCCCCAAAACCAAAAACCAAACCTGTTGCCGTCAAGTCGATTCCAATTCATAGCGACCCTATAGGACAGAGTAGAACTGCCCGATGGGGTTTCTGAGGAGTGACTGGTGGATTCAAACTGCCGACCTTTTGCCTAGTAGCCGAATGCTTAACCACCGTACCACCAGGAGGGATAACAGCAGAAATAATTGCAAGATAGGATATTTCCCAAAGAAACACTGTTTTGAATACCATGAGGCATGGAAAGAGATAAGCTTTGGAATCAGTTCTGACACTTTATGCAAACTTGCTATATAAAATCCCTGATTTATACCAGATAAATGGTGGAGGGCAGGAGTTACAGGAATCTCTCACTTTACCAAAGCAATCATTATAGTAAACATTTAAGAAGAGCAGCACCTCCTTTCTCTAGTGCTGTGCAGGCCAGAACAGTAGCCACTAGCCACATGTGGCTAGTTAACATTTGAAATGTGGCTAGTTTGAACTGAAACGTGCTGTAAGGGTAAAATACACACTGGATTTCAAAGACTTAGTATGAAAAAAAGGATAATTATATTGACTACATGTTGAAATGATAACATTTTGGATATATTGGGTTAAAAAAATTAAATTTACAAGATTAGATAGGAAACTTAGGGGGCAGTGAGTTTATGTTAATGGGGGAGGAACAACTCAGAAAAGGAGGATGAGAATGGTTGCACAACTCAAAGAATGTAATCAATGTCACCGAATTGTACATGTAGAAACTGTTGACTTGGTGTATGTTCTGTTGTGTATATGCTCAACAGCAATAAATTATAAAAAAAAATTAAAATTCATTTCACCTGTTTTTACCTTTTTAACGTGGCTACTAGAACATTTAAAATTATATATGTGGCCTGCATTATGTTTGTATTGGACAGTGCTTCCCTAGTGTGTTCTAAACCAGGATTTGACTTAGAAGCATCATTTCAGTAGTATATTTCTACATTTCTGAAAGTAGAGATGTAGTACATTTCTTTAAGTAATCATACCTGTACAAGAGAAACAGGCTTATTTCAAAAGAAGGACAGGGAGGAATGGAGGTTTGCAAATGGGGAAAGTGATCATAGAAGAAAGTCAGGACCCTGCCTCAGTTGCCTCTCAGCCTGGGGATGAAGGGGGTGGGGCGGTGGTCAATTGCCTGAAACAATTCCCTTAGCTCTGTCTGATCTCCCAGTTGGGGCCCAGAAAAGAGAGGGGGAAAGCGCTTAGAAACTTCTCTGCTCTTACCGTCTTAGCCATCAAGCTGTGGGTGGGAGATAGTGACGATGTGGCAGGAACTTTCCCGGGGCCGCTGGGGGCCACCATTCCTGGCAGAGAGAGGGAGGAAGAGTGAGGTGAGCCCCTTCTTCACTCCCAGGGCCATCTGGTAGAGCTGCTGCCGCACCTCCTTCTGCCAGTAGGCATAGATGAGTGGGTTGAGCAGGGAGTTGCCTACACCAAGGAGCCACAGGTACCGTTCCAGCACTAGGTAGAGGTGGCAGCCCTGGCAGGCCACCTGCACAATGCCAGTGATAAAGAAGGGGGCCCAGGACAGAGTGAAGCTCCCAATGAGAACAGCCACGGTGCGGATGGCCTTGAAGTCGTTGGGAGTCCGTGAGGGCCGGTAAGCTCCAGCCACGGCCCCCGCGTGCTCCATCTTTCGGATCTGTTGGCTGTGTACGGAGGCAGTCTTGAGCATGTCGCAGTAGAAAAAGACGAAGAGGAGCAGGGCTGGGAAGAAGCCAACACAGGAGAGGGTCAGCACGAAGCGAGGGTGAAACACAGCAAAGAAGCTGCAGGGCCCCTGGTAAGTGGTCTGCTGGAATATGGGGACTCCGAGCGGGAGGAAGCCAATGAAGTAAGACACCAACCACAGCCCAGCAATGCAGGCCCCAGCCACAAGCCCACTCATGATCTGGAAGTAGCGGAGGGGCTGCTTGATGGCAAGGTACCTGTCAAAGGCAATCAGCATGACCGTGAGGACAGAGGCTGCCGAAGAGGAAGTGACAAATGCCATCCGAAGGCTACATAGGGTCTTCTGGGTAGACCGAGCAGGGCTGGAGATCTGGTCTGTGACTAGGCCAGAGATAGCCACGCCAATCAAGGTGTCAGCCACAGCCAGATTCAAGGTGAAGCAGAGACCCACGCCATCATTTTTATGGATCAACAACATCATAACCACGGCCACTAGTGCATTTGCAGCAATGATGAGGGAGGCCAGGACAGCAAGGACCACTCCAAAGGAGAAAGATGATTCCATGTCTTGAAGTGTCCAGACTTCCACTTACCAGGGCATGCCAGTTCTGCAGCTCAAATTCTCATGTGCTGGGGGAGAAGGAGCCGTGGATTCAGAGGGCCAGCCCAATTCTGGCCATCGCTGGCAGTTGAGGCTGGCAGCTTGCCATCTTTGGGATCCTGCAGGTCATTGAGGATCTCTCCCTCTCTCTTCTTCAGTCCTCAGCCTCCTGCCTCTCCCAGCTCTCTGAAAGCAGCGGTCCCAGTGCAGACCTCCCCGTGCCCTGAGCTAGTCCCTCCCCCTCCAACGACCAAGTTACTAGACAACCCCCAAGTCCCTGGCGCACACTGTCTTGCCATGCTCTCTCCCTTCATTGATGCTTCAACGACTTTGTTTGGAGAGACAGGGACATTCATCAGGTCTCCTGTCTGGCAGAGGATATAATTGACTCTAATCACACTTTTTCTTCCTCCGTAGCTTGATATTAAATTTCCACTTCTTTTCTTCCTAACCCTCAAGTATTAGCTTAATAGCTAATCTCAGCTTAATGAAGCATTTGCTTAATAACTAATTCTCAGTTACTTTTACGAGTGCTTTTAATCAAGCAAGATGATCATAATCAGTTGAAGTGGGAAGTGAGGGCGGGCGAGTTATTTCAGGGCCCTGGCCGCCTTGCTGGGGCGGGGAAAGTTAACCACACATGTAAGCTGTTTCTCATCCTTTGCTTCCTAGCAGCTCAAATTCTCTCAAATAGGGTGTCCTGTTCCCCGGTTTCTTATCCCCTGAAACTCAATATGTTGAAGATTCAGAAGGGTTGGGGGAAAACAAGGAAAAGAATTATTAATAGCTGTCAGTTTGCCCCTGGGTGGTGCCAAGGGTTAACTTGCTCAGCTGCTAACATAAAGGTTGGAAGTTCGAGTCCACCCAGTGGTGCCTCAGAAGAAAGTCCTGGCAATCTACTTCCAAAAAATCAGCCATTGAAACCCTATGGAGAACAGTTCTACTCTGACACACGTAGGGTCGCCAGGAGTCGTCGACTAGCTAGAGCCCATTTTCCCAGCTAAAGCTGCTGTCTGTCGGGTATACTCACTGAGAACCTTTTCCGCACCCTGTCCTGCCTTGTCTCTGGTCAATGGGCCCTGGCTGCCAGACTTGCCTTTCTCGATCCTATAGATCCAAGATGTCTCTAGGAGAGGAGGAGAAGAGGAGAGGAGCTGTGTTCTAGAAGGTATCTGCCCTGATATTTGGCTGTGGAATTTTCTGTTTTCCAGGGATGGTACTTGTGGGGGTTAGGTCAAAGGGCAGCAGTGTTGCTGAGGCAGGGGAGATGGGCTCAGGGAGGTTACTCCTATTTTCGGTTGTATACCCATTTGCTCGGGTACATTAGAACTAACCTTTTGCCTGCCACTTTCATCTTGGATACCAAGAGAGAGGGGTGGGGAGAAGAGCTGTTAGAAGCTTATTTACTCAGTTCGGGTGAGAGCACAAATGGGCAAGGTTAGTGTTTTAAGTGAGGGAGTGGAGAACAAGGTGCAGCGGGGGAGGCAAATACTGGACCCTGTTCCCGGATGTTTTGACAGTCGGAGAGTGCCTTTGGCAGATGTCTCTCCTGCAAACCATCGGAAAGCCTGTGCCGTGGGGGCTTGGTATTCTAGTTTCCAGCCTGAGAACCATTCATACTCTGATGCACCCATTAGGTGGCTGGTTTCTGTTGCTTAGCATCTGGCCTGACTTTATACCTGGACTTGAGGTGTGCTTTTGTTTTCCAAGCCCAGCTTCTAATATGGAGTCAAGCTGGCCCTTTTCAAACCCATCCTTCAACGGTAGAGAACATCCGAATCGCCTGGAGGGCTTGTTAAAACACAGATCGCCAGGCCCCACCCACAGAGTCTGGAGTGAGCCCGAGAATCTGCATTTTTAATAAGTTCCCAGGTGATGCGGATGCTGCTGATTCGGGGACCACACTTTGAGAACCACTGATCTGGTGCAGTGGTTGTTAACCTTAGCTGTACAGCAGAATCACTTGGGGAGCTTTAAAAAATGCTGATGCTTGGGTCACACCCCAAGAGATTCTGATGTAGTTAGGCTGAAATGTAGCCGATGGCATTTGGATTCTTAAAAGCTTCTGGTTGTCTTAGTTTCTTAGTGCTGCTATAACAGAAATACGACAAGTGAGTGGCTTTAAGGAACAGAAATTTATTTTCTCACAGTTTAGGAGACTAGAAATCTGAATTCAGGACACCGGCTCTAGGGGAAGACTCTCTGTTCACTCTGGGCGAAAATCCTTGTCTCTTTCTGCAACTCTTTCTTGGGCTCTTGGTGATATCCAGGTAGCATCAATCTTTCTCCATTGGTGCATCCTTCTCTGTGCTTAGTCTGCCCTTTTTATATCTCAAAGGTGATTGGTTTAAGACACAGCCTACACTGATGTGGTCCATGAGCATAACAGTCCTATTCCCAAGTGGGATTGCACCACAAGTATAGGGGTAAGGATTTTCAACACATTTTGGTGGGGACGCAATTCGATTCATAACACCAGGTGATTCTAATATGCAGCCAGGGCTGAGAAGCACCGTCCAAGACAAAGGCACAGGATTTGGAGTCAGGACACCTGGCTTCCAGCCCTGTGACTTCAGTTAGGCAAATGACTTCACCTCTCTGATGCAGCCTTGGTTTCCTCATGTGTAAAATATGGATGATGATATCTACATCACAAGATTGTGGAGATGACAAAATGAGGTATGATAGATGTGAAAAGGCTTTGTAAACTGCCTTCTGGTCTCTTGTTAATCCAAGTGTGTATCAGATCACAAGCACTGGCATGACCAATGTTAGAAATGCAGACTGTCAGGCCCTGCCCCAGACCTGGTTATTCATTTCCTGCTGCTTTGTAACAAATTACCACCAACTTAGTGGCTTAAAACAACACACATCTATTCTCTTACAGTTCTCCAGGTCAGAAGTCCTAAATGGGGAGCAGAAAAACTTGGACACTTGTCTGAAATTAAAATTTAAGAGGTTTATTAACGGATTGTGATGATTCAATTCGTGGTCAAACCGGGGCACAATATGGTCCACTGAAATGGAAACAAGCAGTCAGACAAGGGGGGATTAGCAAAGGGTTTAAGTACAGATAAATGAGGAAATAACAGTGTATTCTAAATGGTTACTGGAAGATTAATGAATGTTATAATAATTACACTTTGATTGGATTTATGTTAAATAGTTATAGTAAAAACCATGTATATTAATAAGAATTTCAAGAAAAATTATGAGTTATACTAAAACATGCTAAGTAGCGTTTGTGAAAAAACCATGATGAGTTAACATATGTTTTTGATTGGTTGATACCTTTACAGAAAACAAGATTCAGTAAGAGTTTACTTGGAATAATTTGTAATAATCTTGTAATTACATTTTCTGAGAATAGCAAGCAGAAGTTGATTTCTGATAAATGGTCAAGGAGTTAAGATGGAGTCAGGCCTACATTGTAGACAGAAGCCTTAATCACACCAAGCGCCTTTGACAACTTGAGGAGCTTAAGCTGTCTGTCCAGAGTGTAGTATTAGACTCATCTGTTAGGTGATTACAAACGTTAGATGAACATTTTACGATTCATTTGACCAGGGTCGGGGAGAATTAGGGAAGTTACTTACAGCAAGTATTAGAGAAGTAACTTATCAGACAGTAAAATGGATTCTGGATTTTATATCAAAGCTCAAGATGCAGCTGGGGCCAGAGCTGTAAGCTGCAGCTTTCCACAAACCAAGTGCCTTAAATTTTAATCTCTTACTCAGGGTCATATTGGACTGTCTTAGGCTGGGTTCTCTAGAGAAGCAAAACCAGTGAAGCATGTGTATATATGTGTGTGTATATATGTACATATATCTATATATAGTGAGAGAGAGAGAGATTTATCTCAAGGAAATGGCTCACGTGGTTGTAGAGGCTGGCAAGTCCCAAGTCCATAAGTCAGGCATCAGGCTGGAGGCTTCTCCTGACTCACGTAGCTGCAGGGGCTGATGAACTCAAGATCAGCGGGTCAGATGGCAGGCTGCTAGCTCACAGGCTGCAGAGGCAGATGAGTCCAAGATCAGCAGGGAAGATGGCAAGCTGCTGGCTCACAGGCTGCGAAGGCCGATGAATCCCAAAATTGGCAGGCAACACAGTAGGGTGCTGGCTCAAGTCCCAAGAACCAGAGGTCAGATGATGATGAGCTGGATGCAGGATGTAGAGGAAGCAAAAGCCAGAGAGCTTTGCCAAAACATCCATATATATTGGATGAAGGCCACACCCCCAAGGCATCTCCCCCTACAACTGATTGGCTGATCACATCATGGAGGTGATTACATTATATCACAAAATGGAGGATAACTGCATCATTACATAACTGCCAAATTACATCATTACATAACTGCCAAACCACTGAGAATCATGGCCCAGCCAAGTTGACACACAAACTTAACCATCACAGGGGCTAAAATCAAGGTGTTGGCAGAGCTGCTATCCTTCTGGAGGCTCTAAGGGAGAATCCTTTCTTTGTCTTTTTTAGCTTCTAGAGGTTGCCCATATTCCTTGGCTTCTGGCTGCATCACTCCAACCTCTGCTTCCAACATTGCATCTCCTTCTCTGACTCTGACCCTCCTGCCTCCCTCTTACAAGGATCCTTGTGATTATATTGGACCCAGCAGGATAATCTGGGATCATCTTCCCATCTCAAGATCCTTAACTTAATCACACCTTTGAAGTCCCTTTTGCCGTGTAAGGTAACATAGTCACAGGTTCTGGGGATTAGGATGTGGACATTTTGGGGGAGATCATTTTTCTGCCTACTGCATTGCGCGGGTCTCTCCCCACCTCCACCCCCCAGTAGGTAGGTTCTTCTCAGTCTGCTCTTCCTTTGCTCATGCCCTGGACATTTATTTCTTTTCTTTTAGTTGTCAGAACTTTTCTGTTTCCTGTCTTGTCTTCTCAGGAACCCACAAGTTGATTCAGACTAATCTGGGTAGCCTTGTAAAAATAGTGAGCTCCCTGTCATTGCAAGTATGCAAGCAGAGACTGAATGCCCATCTCTCAGAAGGGAATTCCTACAATGGTACAAGATCTTAC